TCGGCAAAGATGTATTTTGCCGAGTGCCATTTTTCGGCACTCGGTAAAATGCGTCTTTGCCAAGTGGGCAAAGATATATTTTGCCGAGTGCCATTTTTTAGCACTCGGCAAAATGCGTCTTTGCCGAGTGCCTTTTTTTGGCACTCGGCAAAGAGGCATTTTGCCGTGTGCATTTTTTTTGGCCCTCGGCAAATCATTTTTTCAAAGCAATTTTTGAGGCCCTAAATGAATTCAAATGAAAAACTTTTCAACTACAAAGTTGTATAACTTCTCAAGATCTACAAAGTTTATTTTGGTCATTTCTTCATTTGACAAAGCGACAATAACGTTGTTCATAAAATCTACATCTCTCTCATATCTCTCATATTAGTTTCATGAAAGTCGAAGAGAGATATATAAGATTTGTGAATAATGTTACTACCACTGTGTCGGATGACCAAATGACCAAAATAAACTTTGTAGATCTTGAGATGTTATGAAATTTTGTAGTTGGCAACATTTTGATTTGAAATCTTGTCATGCAAAAATGACGTTTGAATTTGAAAATTTTAAAATTTGAATTTTTCAAAATACCTCAGATGGAAAAACTTCTTAAATGAAAATTGTAGATCTCCAAAAGTTATGAAACTATGTAGTTGACAACTTTTTGATTTGAAATCATCTTATCATGCAAAACTATGTTTGAATCTCTCAAATTTAAAATTCGAATTTTTCAAACGACCTCAGATGGAAAAACTTCCTAAATGAAAATTGTAGATCTCCAAAAGTTATGAAACTATGTAGTTGACAACTTTTTGATTTCAAATCATCTTATCATGCAAAACTACGTTTGAATCTCTCAAATTTGAAATTCAAAATTTTCAAACGACCTCGGATAGAAAAACTTTCTAAATGAAAATTGTAGATCTCGAAAAGTTATGAAACTTTGTAGTTGACCACTTTTTAATTTGAATTCGTTTAGGGCCTCAAACAAGCAATTTACTCTCGATTTAGTATAATATATGAGAATAGATAACGGAAACTAGACACAAGTGATAGTGTAGTGCAGTGGTAGAGCAACAGACACACGAGGGAGAGGTCGTGAGTTCGAATCCCGCCGGCCGCATTAGCCGTGACTTCGATGACCGGTGGCGTTGGCCGATGGCGCCCTTCCCTGAAAAAAAAATTGCTATTATTTTTGGGTTTTTTCGCATTTTCATTTTGCCGAGTGTAAATCTTTGCCGAGTGCTTTTCCGGCACTCGGCAAAGACTTCGCCGAGTGCCCGACAAAAAGCACTCGGCAAAGGCTTCTTTGCCGATTAATTCTTTGTCGAGTGCCCTTTGCCGAGTGTATTTCGGGCTTTGCCGCAAAGTGCGGGTTTCCAGTAGTGATTGCAGAAGTGAGGCTGAAGTAAATTTGATCATTGTAATAACCATACTGTCCAGCCTTGGCAAACGGCGTTGAACAGAGTGGAGGTGAAACGCTGGTGCTAGTGAACACATCGACAATAGTGATTTGACTTGTGTCAATAGAGGCAAAGATGGCCTGGCCATAAGAACACCCTACAAACTCCATGTTCATAATGTTTGAGGGAATTTGGCGATGAAATCTAAGGGTTGGATTGGTTGGGTCCATCAATTGCCACGTGTGATGAACTTGGCCATTGCTACTTAATTGAGCACAACTTTGGACAATGAGAGGTGGAAAATGCTTTGATAGGATGGGTTTAGCTAACATGAAAGCTGCACGCCAACTAGGGCAGGTGGCTATGAAGGCAAGAAGGTCACGGGTGCAACTCAAGAGCATAATAATTGATTGGAGTAACTCAATTGGGAGGTCTGCCCAACATTGGGGTCTAGCCACAACGAATAACATGGACACGGTGGTGGCAAGGTCCATGCAAGTGCTTTCCATGGTGAGGTTCCTGTAATCCAAAATTGTAACTTTAGTTGATCAACAAAAATCGGCATTAAAACATTAAAATGTGTACAAACTATCTCACACTGCCTTCGGTTTGTTTTAGAATGCTAAGGCTTCAATACACTAGTGTGAAAATCAACATTTATGTTGTTAGTAAAAGTAAACTATGAACATGATACAATAAAGTGCTAATACCACATTCCAACTTTACACTATTACATCTAACTAGAAAGGATGGCACGCTATGCCATGCCATTTGTGTTTGTGTGCTTTTAGTTCCCTAGAATAGAAAACCAGGAAGCTAGAAGCAAAAGTTTAGTAGCATGTAGTAGACAAACGGTCCAAAGAGCCATACACCATCAGCGGAAGGTGATGTAGTTTGACCACGATGACCACATACCATGACCACGATGAGCATACATACTAGCACAACATACTTGCCCACCACATACCAGCATAGTTGCATGGTCTAACGACGAATATGGGTGACACGGGGATACAGATGGCAATGGGATGGTGCAGGGCCGAGGGGACAACCCCGTTCCTGCCCCGATCCCCGAACTCAAATCCCCGCCCCATCCCCGATAAGCTAAACGGGGAAAAAAACTTGCCCCGTCCCCGTCAGATCCTCGAATAGATCTCTGGTATCCACTATCCAGTCTACTAACGAGTGAAAAATCCAAGAAGTACTACTACTTTTAGCTAAAAGGATTTAGATTTGAGAAAAAGAATCAGTAGATCACCGTAGCAGTAGCACATGGAGAGAGTGGATGATGCTTGGTGCAGTCTGCAGTCAAGAAGATGTGCTCACAGCTCAAACTCCCCAACCACCGAGGTGCGTGCAGTCAAGCTCCGGCCTCCGTCAAGTCGCGAGCTACTGTCCAGCTGCTCTAGCCCCGTGAGTTGCAATGCGCCCACGAAGCGCGAAGTTGAGCAATCGAGCTCCGAGCCTCCGGTGGATGAGTGACACTGCTGCTAGAGTGGTGGTTGGTGCCATGGCGGCCGCCGCCGCTCATGGATTGCGACTTGTGTGAGGGAAATATGAGGTAGGGTTAGGGTTGATTTGGACTGGGTGGTGGATTTATATACAACAACGTGAGCTGTTGATTGTTGTCCACTGGGCTGGGCTACTTGGGCCTTGTATTTTAGACTTGTGCAATTTATTTTGGGTCCCCGTGGTGCCCCATGGGGCAAATTCTTCCCCACCCCAGCCCCGCTATCCCTGCGGAGGAAAATCTATCCTTGTTCCCGCCCCGTTCGGGTCAGATCCCCACGGGGTTCCGCCTCCGCAAGGAAAATTCCCATCCTTACATGAGGACACATGACCACCTCTGGCTCTTCTAAGTGGCATGCTAACCAAGAGGAAGACATAGTCCTCCACACAAGTGCATCAACAGGAAGAGCAAGCGACATCCAACAAGCGGCAACGTGTTGGTTGGCCAAGGTTTAATATTACACAAATTGCTGGGGTAACGACCGGTTCCCTCTAGTGCAACAAATCAATTATGTAGAGCCAAGCTTTGTCACAACTAGCAATAATAAACACACAGGGCCCCAAAGGCAGGCAAATACCAATCACTAATATGTGAACATCCATGTAAAATAAATTCTACAAGGCACTAACTATGACAGCACAGGAAGGAGGAAGTATAATGAACACTTGATAGAATAGACACGATACAACACTAAATAAAGTAAAGAATGCAAAGAGCTATCAAATTAAATTGCATAGAAGTAAAAGCCTCCACACTGAGCATAAGGGGCGAACTACCTAATAACTACACCTCCATAGCATGAGGAACAAAACACCACAATACTAATGACTCTTACATCGGCAAAAATGGAAATCACCGGAAAAAATCGACTATGGTAGCACGATCGTGACCTACCACCACCGTACGAACACCAATCTACCTTGAAAAAATCAAAGAGGGGATACCACCAATACTCTATATTGATCCGTTCAACACACAGGGGCAACGCATATGGCCGAGGAACCAACCACCAACGACACTTGTGAGAAGAGCGACAAGGCTTTATCGAGGTAGCGAGGAGGAAGCAACCAAGAAAGTAGGTCGAAGATCGGTGGCGGCAGTGGTGGCGGCGGTAGCGAAAGTGGTAGGATGAGACTGGGAAGTGGTCGAGTGGGGGAAAAAGATTGGGGTTTCTTGTTTTGTTAAAAAGGAGATAGACGTGGAGCATTGGATGGTGATCCGATGGCTCAAAATACATGAAATTTTTAGGATGTTAATATAGGTATTAACTCATCATCACAAATCAAGTGTACCATCATTTATAATTTTGTATGCAAGGAAATAAAATGTGTGTAGTTTAAATGGTATTATAGAGATTGAAAATGGCTAACACACTTAATCGTGTCTTTTACTTTTTAGCCTTCTTGTGCACTCGATTTTTTTAGGCATGGGCCTAGTGCCTCGGTAACCACGAGATTAACCAATCCTTTGTCAACGTATATACCAACTTTTTTTTTGAGAATTACACAGTACAACACAGACGTCTACAGTACGCACGCACACTCACATCTATGAATACACGTACACAAACCCTATCCCTATGAGCACTTCCGAAGGACTGAGCCGGTAGATCTCGAGATTCACGAAAGTCACCATAGACGCCTCGCTATTGACGGGGACGTCGTCTACCACTGAAAGCATAGTGCCGGTAAATCCTGGAATAAAGCCTGAAAAATGCTAGCACCCGTGCCAAGTTGAGAACTTGAACCTGGATGGGCAGGTTCCACCATAAGGAACCTGATCAGTTCGCAACATATATATCAACTTAGATAACGTGGGAAAAAAAAGATAAAAAAGTTTAAGACAAACCTAGTGAGCAGTGACCTTATTATACTTAGTTTGCAACAGCTAGTAATAAGCCCTACAGGTGTTCTCGGTAGAAAACAAATTCTCGTTCCATGTCTCAACAAATCCCATTCATGAATTCCGATTCACAAGTTCGGTTCAAATATTTATAACTTCAGAGTTCGGTTCAAATATTTATAACTTCAGTATAAACCTTCTGGCATTTTTCACTGCAACAGGCCTGCACGGTGTCTTTGTTCGTTGTCAGCAATTTCATCACATCATGCGATGGCGTTGGCCGGAACCGCTCGGAACTCATGCACGACGCCGTCGATCTCGATGGAGCTGCAGCCCGGATCCTTGACCATCTTGCTCTTCCTCATCTGCTTCCTCACCTGCACCGCCCTGCCATGCCGTCCCTTGGACGCGTACATGTTCGACAAGAGCACGTGGTCCCCGGCCTCGCCGCTGCCGCGGTCTGCCGCCACCACCACGCGCCGCATCACCCTCTCGGCTCTCTCGACGTCGCCGCGCGCGCGGCAGGCCGCGAGGAGGGAGCCCCGGACGAGCGCGTCGGGCGGCACGGGCATCGCCGCTACGAGCGCCTCTGCCTCGTCCAGCCTCCCCGCGCGGCCCAGCATGTCGACGGCGCACCCGTAGTGCTCGATGCCGGGCGTCACGCCGTAGTCCTCCGCCATGGCGCCAAGGTGACGGAGACCCTCGTCGATGAGCCCGGCGTGGCAGCACGCGCAAAGGACACCGAGCAGCGCTACGCCGTTCGGGCGCACGCTGGCTCGCCGCATTGCCGCGAACAGCGCTAGGGCCTCCTCGGCGCGACCGTGCGTGGCCAGCCCCATGATCATGGACGCGTAGGTGTACACGTCGCGCCGCGGCATGCCGTCGAACACCGCCGCGGCCTGGTCCACCGCGCCGCACTTGGCGTACATGTCGAGCAGGGCGTTGCCGACGATGACGCCGTCGGTGTTGGCATCACGCCCCTGCTGCCTGCGCATGTACGCGTGCACCCACCGCCCCGTGTCAAGCGCGCCGAGCTGGGCGCACGCACCGAGGACGGCCACGAACGTCGCGCCGTCCGGGCGCACGCCCGCGCGCTGCATCTCCCGGAACAGGTCCAGCGCCTCGCCGTGCTCTCCAGCTCGTACGAGCGCCGCGAGCATGGTGTTCCAGGACACGACGGTCTTGGCCACCGGCATCCCCCGGAACCACCGGCGCGCCGCGGCCACGTCGCCGCACTTGGCGTACATATCCAAGAGCGCGTTCCACGCCACGATGTCGAGCGCGACGCCCGCCGCCGCGACGCGCCGGTGCGCCTCCCGGGCGAGAGCGAGGTCCCTCGCCTCCGCGCAGGCTGCGAACCCTGCTGCGCCGGCCACCGCGTCGACAGAGACGCCGCTGCCGTCCAGCTCCAGCATCGCGAAGAACAGCGCCACGGCGTCGCGGGCGAGGCCCAGCCTCGCGTGCCCGGTCACCATGGCCGTCCAGGAAACCACGTCCGGGCCGTCGCCTGGGAACACGTCGAACAGGGCCCCCGCGGCCCCGCGCTCGCCGCACGAGAGGTAGAGCGCGATGAGGCCATTGCGGACGGTGCGCTCGCGGTCCAGACCGAGCTTGGTTGCGTGGGCGTGCACTGCCACCGCCGCCGTAGCGGAGGACGTGGGCAGCGCCTTGATGAGCGCCCGGAGGCCGCGGGCGTCGGCCGGGGCGCCTCGCCGGAGCGACGCCGCCACAGCGTCGGCCTTGGGGTTTCCATGCCCGTGATGGTGAACCTGCTGCTGCAATACTGGATAAGGTGCCATGGATGGCCGTGCAGCGTGCACAGTTCACCCTGTGGTGGACTCGTGTTCTTGGAATCATGGATAAGGAACGAGAGGCTGACGTGTGGGGCCGGACGAGTGTTGCAGACAAGCTGGACCGCGCGTTCGCGGTTGGAGGTGGCCGCTGTGTCAGTGTGATGCCTCTGTGCAGGCGCCAATTTCTTGCTGGCATTTGAAATGCTGGAGCCAACTTGGATTTTAATTTAACTATGCAGAAACGAAATTAAATTCACTAGAAATATTGTCAACTTTTCTGGAGATGAAAACTTTACCGCAGTATGATGTTAAAGAAACAAAGGTACTGTGTAAAATTCATGATCTTTGGACAAATAAACAATTGAAATAAATAAAACAGCACATAACACTTTTCTATATATCAGGCACAAAAAAATGAAGTTTTGTATTTTTCATATCTAGGTCTAAACACTACAAGCCTTACCAAATTTGTTTTGTTATTTTTAATTTTTTACTGATTTACTACGCATTTTAAATACACTGTAATATTATCCACACAGAAAAAGCATTTGCTTTTTTTTTATTTCTCTCAGTACTGACACTTTCTCACCGATGGCATGCTATACCCAATACCCTCTTTAATCAACCCAGATGAAAATGCACGCTATACCCAATGTCCTCGGATTGCCGGTTACAAGTAGAGCTGAGACTTGGACCTTGCCATCTGGTGCATACAATTTCGCCGGGAGAGCTGACTGTCTTTGTATCTGCCGCATCCATCGGTTCGTTTGCGATATGTGTGTTTTAGCACTTTGGTTGTGAGATCGATATTCGCGTCGTCAACACTACTCTCTCCGTCTCTAAATACCTATCTTCTCCCTTCCCGAGAAATAAGTTTAACCAACTATATGTAAAAAATATTAATATTTATGGTACACAATTTATATCATTAGATAGATCGTTAAATCAACTTTTATAATAAATTTATTTGGAGATACAAATATTTCACACATTTTCTACAAATCTAGTCAAACTTATCGCACGAAAACAAAAAACGACAAATATTTAGAGACAATTGGAGTATGTTTGAGAAAAAATAATATTTATTACGACAATATAGACAAGGACACTGTACCTACATTATGTTTAGTTTAACAATGATGTCCCCTTCCCAACTACGTAGAGTTTGTTCACTTTTTTAAGGCAAGAGTATTTGCTGCACAGCGCTACATTATTTCAACGATAAGTTGTTGTTCTAGCCTGGTCTACATCTCCAAATTATACGCTTGGCCAAACCGACGGCAGCGGCACCAGGTTAAAGTACTATGTATGGCAGCAGGACAGCTAGCCTTTGTTTTGTTTGCCGCTACATTGTTCATTAATTAAGTGTGTTGGCCGTGCTAATGCTACGTGTCAAACACAAATCAACCAATTAAAAGATAATATATGTTCTGTTAACCTTTGTGAAGGTCAATACAGTTCAAAACATTAGTGGCCACATCTATAGCAAAATCTTTGTGAAGTTCAACACATTTAAAATTCAATTCCTCATCAAAGATTCATATTGTCGGTGCAAAAAGTGACCAACAATATGATCAGATGTGGCCTAGCACTCAATGACACAGGGTTTATACTAATTCAGGTAACGTGCCCTACGTCCAGTTTGAGTCGGTCGGTGACTTTATTCCTGAGCCCAGGTGCTCGAAGTTTGTTGTGGGGTAACAAACGAGTGGGAATAAGATGGGGAGTGTTAGAGGTCTGGTCGGACTCTGGACTGAAGGGCCAAGAGTGACGGGAGCTCCTGCGTGCGTGAAGTATTGGAACGTATGCTCTGTGTAGCTTTAGAGTTCTAGAGCTGTGGAGCTGTTCGAGTGCTCAAAATGTCTAAAGCTAGTAGAGAGAGAGTCAGAATGATCGTCCTTGTCGGGAGAGAGCGCATCCCCTTTTATAGATGAAGGGGACGGCCTTACAAGCTCGGGAGAGAGAGAGAGAGAGAGAGAGAGAGAGAGAGAGAGAGAGTGCCATAGTCTTGTTGCCCGCGCCGTCGAGTACAAGACAGTTTGTCGGCGCCCACAATACTGTTGACGCCCAGATGCATGTGGCACGCTCCATCATGTTCTTCTGGTATGGCAAACGTTAGCGCCTACCATACTGTAGGACAAATGTTGGCGCCTACAACACTGTTTATATTCTGACATGTCTGGAAGGCTGCAAAGTACCCTTCTGGCATAGCCTGATAGTACTGTCCTGTAGGTGTGCAGGGTATGGTCCTCGGTATTGTGGTTGACTTGTGCGCCTTACCTTATCTGCTCCGCCTGATTTCTTGGGTCCTCACCGAGCGGGCGTCCCCGGCCAGTCGTTCCTAGTTGGCTCCGACCATGCCGGTCGGAGAAGAGCCGTAAGCAGAGGTTCGGTGTATTCCTGGTCGAAGAAGCGGGTCGGAGTCGGAAGCGAGCGTTGTCCCCTCCTTGGCCAGGCCTTCCGGTGGGAGACTGGATCGCCCTTCCGACCTATCGTTAGGTATCTGGGCTGGCCCAGGAGTTGCGCGTCATTCGTAATGCCGTCTGTCGGGCCGAGCTTTTGCTAGGCAGCGGGCCCATTAAGGACCCCGGGTTTATGAACCCGACAGGAGCCCCCGAGCCCCCAGGCAATTCGGGTAGAATCATCTAGGGGATTTTTCGTTTTGCCAGTGGGTGCACGCGAGTGCACCCGGTGGGTGTAGCCCCCGAGCCCCCGGGCGATTTGGGTAGAATCATTTGGGTGATTTTTCGACTTGTCAGCGGGTGCGCGCGAGCACACCCGGTGGGTGTAGCCCCCGAGCCTGCGTTCGACTGGTGAGTCAGTTGGAGGCTAAGTATCTTGGTACTCTTTCGTGGGGCCGTAGACTCCTATGTTTCTACCGTTCGGGGTGTTCGCCCATGTTTGTCCCTCCTGCGATCTGCGTGGTCGGTTGATTTCCCGAGTCGGCGTCGGGCGACCTGAGCCCTGTTGGGTTCGGTAGGGGTTGGTCTAGTTCCGTGCGTTACCTCGTCCATAGTTTCAGCAACCAGAGGGGCTGAGCTAACGTCGCTTGCCTCGATGGCTCGAGTGACGCGCTCGGTGAGCTCACTAACGGGCGCCTTCGAGAGCCTTCGAGCGGAATCCGGGCCTGTCGTTCGTGACGGGGTCGGCATAGCCCTCATGTGGCATTCCACTGCTCCTTAACCCGGTCGTTCCGGAGACCGACTCAGGTGGCCCGCTGGCCTCCCCTCGATGGAGATTCTGTGGGCATGACTCGAGGTTAGGATCGAACAAGAAGGTCGAGATGACCCTGTCTGCTTCTGAGCATACCGGGCGAGGGCCGCTGGGGCGCATCTGTGTTTTCTCCCCTGGCTCTGTTTGACACGAGCCAGCCTCGAGCCCTTCACGGGCAGGCCTTCGAACCCTGATCGGTTGTTGCTCATGTTGAATGAGGCAACTACCGCTTCGTGATGCAACACGAAGCGTTGTGATGCATTAATTGCATATGCGATGCTTTGGATGTATGGGATGAATGAATGATTGTATGAATGAATGTGTGAATGCGTGTATGAGAAAGGATGAATGAATGATCATACATCAGAAAATAAAGTAAGAACGTTTGGTAAAGCTGCCTTGATGACTCGAGTGACGGATTTGAGGAGCTCTTATCGGATATGTCTGAATGGGATCCGTGTTCGTCATTCGTGGCGGAGTCGGCGTAGCCCGTATGGTGTCACCAACCCGGACTAAAGGTCTCCCACCCGGGACTAAAGGTCCCCCACAGGTGAATTCAAAAGGAGAGCGTCCAGGACTTTATCACTTGTGGTGTGCAATTAAGATGGTAAGGAAGCTACTCACAAAGCAAGGGGTCTTGGGTTCGAATCTCACGCACCGCAAAAGAGGTCTACCAGGATTTAAACTATTTTTTAGTTTCGGGGATGGGCTTTAGTCCCGGTTGCGTGACCCGGGACTTTCCCAACCAGGATTGAAGCCCACCTAGGCTCTGGAGGATGGGCTTTAGTCCCAGTTGCATGACCCGGGACTAAAAGTCTCGGCCTTTAGTCCCGGATCCGCAATCCCAGTTGGGAAACCGACGCCCTATGAGCGCTCGATGAATCGCCTGTGTGGGGTCGGCGAACGGGAAGGGGGCCTCGACGAGGTCCGCCGACTGCGTGGCGACGAGGCAAGGTGAGGACTTGGGTTAGTTTAGGAGGTGGCACCGTGCGTGCAAGTGCCCAGGTGGTGATACGGCCATGGCGTGGAGTGGAGCATGAGTGCGTTGGTGGCGTCCGCACGGACCACGCGACGCGGCTTGCGAAGACCTCGTCCGGGAGCAAACCGAAGAGAGAAGCGGCATGAAGGTCGGGCAGGCAGGCAACTTGCGAACCAAAGAAAAGGAGGCGGCTTTCGACTGTGAGCTCACCGGCGGGCCTGGTGAGGCAGAGCGCGTGGTGCCGGGAGGGGGCGAGGCCGTGACGGCTCGCCGCGGCGATGTCGGGGCCGCAGGGTCGCTGGCCGTGACGTGGTGGCATGACGACGAGGCTGCAAGGATTTTTTTTGTGGGGAACAAGGCTGCAAGGATGGGAGAGGGGAAAGGCATGCAGGCCAAAGGGAAAAGATGGCCCAATGGGGAGCACGGCTGGGCCAAAAGGAGCGGGGCTCGAGATAGGGAAGGGAGGCTGTCTGGGCTACAACCTACAAGAGGAGGAGAGCGGTCTAGGCCGCGGGGAAGAGGGAGGTGGTCGGTTAGGTTAGATTTGGCCTGACTTGGTCAAGGGGATTAGGAGAGATTTTCCTATGAGATATTTACCTACATGGCCCTCGAAAAAATGTCTCCTCCTTATTTTTTTTTGAACTTACCTGCATGGCTCCAAAATGAAATTATCTTCCTACTATGGCCTTCCGTCCGTTTTTGATATTTGACGGTGTTAAGTCAAGGATAAAATGACCATTTTACCCCTAACGAAAAAATACAGAGACGACGGCGCCCTGCTGGCTAGCTGACGGCAGCGGTGTCCCTTGGTCAA